AAGACGCGGCGAGAGACACACACACAGTGACTCAAACATGATTGGTAGACCAGGCGCACGCAAGAAAGGGCGGCATAAAGAGGAAGGCCGTGAGCCAGCGCATCCACTCTCTGAAGATGAGTAGACGAGACAACTTCCCGAAACGTCAGGTTTGTAAAAAATCTCTCCCGGTGAACGCTCCTCTTTCTTCTGATATAAGACGCTATTTGAATAGAGCCCGTGAAATATAATAATCTACAAAATTTTGGAACCAAAACTATCGCTCGTGTGACTACGATTTATATCAAAGCGAGTACAAGAAAGGAGACCGCTGCCTGCCTGCATCGACCATAACCAGAATGCGAATGCGATTCTGTGGACAACCAAAAAGACACGAATTCAGTAAAAGGAATTTTGAGGTTACGCTACGCAATAAGTCCTTTTGCTGCCCCAATTAAAGAGTAATTTATCCTACTTCAATAGGTATTTCAGGAGTTACTTCATTTACTCAAACTTTCCCATTTTAGTTTTCCACTGACATCTGACGACTGTCTGAGAGTTTGGCTGGAAAACTCGAGGAATGTTCGACGTCCGCAGTTTCGTATAAACAGCAACATGGAGCGAGTTTTTTGAGAAGGGGATGGAAGAATGTTGCGTCTTCGAAATAAACGCATAGGGTTCTGTCCCAGCTATAAAAATCTTGCCTCTCGTCAAAGGTCACGTAAGCAAATCGAAATGCGGTGTGAACTCCCCTGTGAATAGTATAAAATCCGGTTATTGGACGTAGGGGCGGGCAGCTGTTTGGCTACTTACTACTATCTACACTTTAATTCTTATAAAAACTCAGAGAAAAGGGAGTCTTGGTGTAAGCTACACTTTATCATCGACGCTGCAAAGCGTGCTTGTATTGGAGATTAAAGATATTAAAGACTACAGCTTATAAAACTAAACAAAAGACCTTAAGCGTTGAAATGCTGCGTAAGAAATCAAAATATGATTCCCTCACCTTTTCCTGCTCCGTGATGGCCTCATCATCCAGGAGGGCCAATTGAGGCAGTTGCAAGATGACGTGCAATCGATAGTTCTCCTGGCCGCAAACCGGGTTCTCCTTTAAATTGATTTTCGAAAGAAACCTAGCGCTCTTGAGATTCCTAACGACAGAAAGAGAATGTACCTTCAGTTTTTTTATCGGCCAATTATAACCGACGGGAAGGATCTCTGGCAAAATAAATTCAAACGTTTCAGAAAACGAGTTACGCGTACCCCAACTCTCTCAGATCGATTATTTTGTTGCCACTTAGGTCAATTTTTTGCAGACTTCGGAGACACTGGAAAGTCCGCAGGTGCGTAATACTGCAGTCCGCTACCAAAAGCTCTTCTATTCTGCTGGGCAGGATGCAGTCTCTTGGAGTTTGTTTATCAGTCGACTTGAAACCACGTGAAGAGAAGACGCACAGATTGGGGTTCCCTGACAAGTCAAGGAACCGGAGATTTTTTAAACCCTGCAGAGGTGGTGGTTTTGGTGGAGAACTGAGACGGAGATATGCGTCAGTAAGCCCAAGCTGGTGAATGAAGTCCGGATGTGAGCCAAAAAGACTTGAGTCGGATAGTCTGTTGCAAGAAATGTCCAGAATGGTCAGATTTGGAAAATTGCTGAGACCTGCAAAATAAATACAACAAAACTATGATGAAAATTGCATGACAAAAGATGTAAATAGAGGTGCGTTTATATTCCTTTCCCCCTCATTCTTAGTGGTACCAAGTGAGTGGCTGAATATCAGGTCTTTGGTGTGGAAAATTTATTTTATTCTTATAGATTTCTAATTTGACCTTGACCGCGGTTGGTTCAAATTTTGAGACAAAGTGGAAGATTTCTATAAATCGATCTTTTCGAGAGAAGAAACGACTTTTAGTCTTTATATTTATTATACAAATCATCTCTCTTAGCATCGTTTTATTTGGAACCATGAC